CTTTCTCCAATCAATTTAGTTATTACCCCTTCTATTTAAACATTGTCCCTTTCTACAAACAGTTAAATATAGTCTCTCTCCAGTTGACAATTTGTCCCTTTCTCCAGTCAGTTAAGCCATTATACCTACTATTGATACGTTGTTCCTTAGTCCAATCAGTTAAGTCTAGTCTCTGTCTAGTTGATAAGTTGTCCCTTTTTTCAATCAGTTAAGCTATTATTCCTCCTATTGATATGATGCTCCTTTCTCTAATCAGTTAAGCCTAGTTTATCTCCAGTTGATAAGTTGTCCCTTTCTTCAGTCAGTTAAGCTATTATCCCTCCTATTGATACGATGCTCCTTTCTCTAATCAGTTAAGCCTAGTTTATCTCCAGTTGATAAGTTGTCTCTTTCTCTAGTCAGTTAAGCCTAGTTCCCATATAAGTCGTTAACAAAGAGTATAACATGACGTAAAAGCCTGATATATTTGTGAACTTTGTTAAGTCTATTTCTAGTTTAACCACTGCATTGTGTTTTGCAGTTAATTCATGTTACAATCTAAAGTATGGCCCACAAAAAGTGAACAGCCATAACAACTTATTTTCCTAATAAAGTAAAGCTACCCCTAAAATTAAGTTTGCATTTAATTTGGCTTTTACAAAAGATAGTATGAATACAAAATACTAATAGATTACAAAAATAAACGTGAAAAGCTATAATATCTTAATAAAGTTTACTTTAAAACCAGAATTTTAAACGCTGCTTGATAAAAAATTTCGAACTTCACTATATACTTTTATCCATTGCTGCACAAACACCTAATGCCGTGTTTCTAGAAACAGATGTTCTGAATTTCACTTATTAGAGTAACCTACGCTCAGATCCCACTGTCTACATTATTACGAGATACCAATAGTTTTTCATTTAGCTGACCAATAAAAGCCACTATGACATACTTCCGAGAAAAATCTCTATTACCAACATTGAAGAGAAAACAAGCTTTTTTATCTGCCTTTAGACTGTAGACTGGCCAACAAGTATAACTATGAAAAATAACAAGCAGACATTATGACAAAATCCAATGCTACTCTTTAAATTGCTTAACGTAGGTATGTTGCCCTTTACCATTTACTAAATTAAACAATGAATGCATATCTTTTGTAGATTCTACGCCACCAAATGGTCAATCATAAAACATTAACAGATTTAAGTAGGCTGAAAGCACGATAGCTGAACAAGTGTGGGAGATGAACTTTTTGATGATGTGATCTATAGTTCGAGATTAGTTTTACACTGAAACTACTGGTGTAAACTTCAAAGAATATACAGTTTGATATACATTTTCTTGTGGTGCGGTGAAGGAGGGGGGGTTAGAGGAGATATAAATTTATTTTTGGTTATCTGCAAACACTGAATAGATATACAAAAATTAAAATTTGTCTTTACTTTACTCTGGGTTATTCTCTGAATATTCCTTTCTGGATATCAGACGATATCATTCTAATACGAAACATCTAAATGTATATCACATAACAATACCTACGTTATAGCACCTTAATTAAGGATTTCGTGTCGTAGCACTATCGGCTATTAGAAGTCTAGATATGAAGAATATTATGTAATTGAGATCCTACATTTTCAGAGGTCGAACTACGTTTTTCTTTGTCTGTTTGTAGTTAAGCGCAAACCTACACAATGGGCTACCTGTACTCTGCCCACCACGGGTATCGAAACCCGGTTTCTAGTGTTGTAAGTCCGCAGACATAAATATGCCCAAAAATTGTGGGGAAATTTATAAATACTTAGGTGGTAACACTACCACGTAATTATAGTTTTTACACACCTCTGTGTAAGCTTACACCAGTGAAACTTTTTTCTTTATTTCAGATATGTTTCAGTCGTGGGGACGTTATAATATGGCGTTGAATGTCACTTTTCGTTGGTAAAAGAGTTGTCGGTGGGTGGAGTTGACTAGCTGCCTTCTCTCTCTAGTCTCTCACTCATAAATTAGGTTCAGCTAGAGCAGATAGCCCTCAAGTAGCTTTGCGCGAAATTCAACAAACAAACAGACGTGTTTGAAAAATATCGGCAGATTCTGATTTTTCTTATAAAATGAATTTTAAATTATAAAGGTACATCAGTTGTTTAATATTGCCTTTGTACGGTTTAAAGTGCCATAGTAGTATTAAAACAGTCTTTTAGAAAAACAAACGTAAAATAATCTTCATTCAGCTGATGTCCGGATTTTCTATTTTTGGAACAGTTGGAGGTTGGTTAACGTACAACATCCCTGAAAACATACGAAGGCAGGGCTTTTTATAAATAGAACGGAACCTCTAAAATATACACGTTGCACTTAGATTATTGGCGGGAAACTAACTATGTTAGGTTGGAAACAGTTTACAAATATGTAACGTTTCCTGAACGTCTAATTCTTGTGCATCAAAAAGCGTGTGCAGATTTATGAACACACACATAACGGACAGATATAACAGTAACGTTGTTTACTTGGTTCAGCGGAGAAAAATCGATATCTTCCTACTCTGTGGTGTGAATAATTTATTAGTGAGCGATATCATGTAAAAAGAGTACGAATTAAGCTAAGTCTTTGTTCTATTTCTTTCTCTTTAATTATTTTTTCACTAACACGGATGTTTTAACCATTAAGTAATTTATTATAGCGATGTGTTTCTCATTCTAATTGAATTATTGTTTGTTTGTTTGTAATTAGGCACAAAGCTACACAATGGGCTACCTGTGCTCTGCCCACCACGGGTATCGAAACCAGGATTCTAGCGTTATGAGTCCGCAAACATACCGCTATGCCACTGGGGGGGGGGGCTCTTATTGAATTAATCAAAATCTCGGAATTACCTAATCTTATTCGTAATAAATGTTGCTATATTTTTGGTCAAAAAAAAGATACGAGTCATGAGTACGGATAACGTTATTTAACTATTTTACTGAATCGTAGCGGAGTAATATTACCAATTATTCATACCTTTTAAAGTTTTCTTTTGTTAATACAATATTTCGATAGTTTGGTGAATATATTTTCCTGCAGTTAACCATCTTCAGTGTAATATACAATACCTCAGTGTTCAAGACATATTTATGTTCTTGTTATTTTAAAACATTGATTATTTTTTAATGTCCAAAAGTTGGTGTAATATGTAGTTGAATATACCATAGTTGTTCTGTTATTAAAACAAGAACAATGAATGCATTTGGTATCGTCAAAGAAAAAAAAAGAACGTTACTGAAAGGTTTTCCACGTGCAACTAAAGCGTTAGGGTAAAACCACGGCATGTATCGATCAGGTTTGTTTTATTTATGCTTCACTTCTTCGTTGCAAACAACAATGGATGAGCAGTGTAACGATAGCACGACGTTATTCAATCTGCTCTATTATCAATACACAGGATATTGTTGTTTGACCTGTGGATATTTATTTGTATTTATGGAAAATCTGCTAAGACCATCTGCCAACGTCCATATTTTTGAATTACTAACCAGAGGGAAAGCAAACAGTCAGCAACACCCTACCACCCACCAACCCGGATCACCAGCTCGAAATTCCATAGTTCTACCACAGAGCCAACCCGCACCCCATTGATTTGTGGATAATAATAATAAGCACTCAGTAACGAAAAGTAGCGTGAAAGAAATGAATTCTGTCTCCCTTGTGGAAACAATCCTGCAAGAATTAACACAGCCTTTTTTAAATCACTTATCCTACAAACTGGTAATTAATATGTTTTATATTAATGCATAACATATTACAGATCAAAGAACCACTTTGTTGTCCTTTCGTATTATATACACATATAGATACTATGAACATAATTATAAAAGAAACTTACGTTGCTTAGGGTTAGTATGCATATTTATTGTATTTATAAACACGTAGTGACATATAATTCTTAAACCCTCAGATATATCACTTCTATTAAGGTCAACAACTGGTCAGTCTGAACTGAATTTCTATTAAAATCACACACTGACCAGGTATGATTATACATAACTTTTTTTCATAACTAATCATCATGGAAATACTTGTATTTTAAGTTCATGACTAGTAAACCAGTCTCCCAGTAGATCAGTGGGAAGTTTGCGGACTGTCAAAGTTAAAGTCTGAGGTTCGAGTACCTGCGATAAACAGAGTGCAAACAGCTTATTGTGTAGCTTTGCGCTCAAACAAACAGACTAATAAATCATTATCAATAAATCAAACCATAATACAACCCTCACTCCAGTGGCTCAGCGGTAAGTCTGAGGGCTTATAACGCTAAAAATCGGGATTCCATACTCGAGGTGAGCGCAGCACAGATAATCCATTGTCCAAAAGTGTGCTTAATAACAAACAAAAAACTGTAGCAATATATTATGGTCACGTACTGATTATTGTTCCTAATTGATATTAAGTTAATGAAAAAATCAGCCTAAGATAAAACGAAGAAAATATACGTTTATACTGAACTTAGAAGAAACGTTTTCAATTATATACCATTGGGTATAAAATATTAAGTGTTTATAAAAGTTAACTCCTCAACAGAGCTTGGTCTTCACATATGTGAACATACTGAACAATCGGACATTTTTTTATTATGAACTGAACATTTTTCTTTAACTGGTGGTTTTTGTTGTTGTTGTTGTTTTGTACTATTATAATTTTCAGGTTAAAAAATGTAGAAAATAATTCATTAGTTTACAAGATGGACGAACCTTATTCCAATTCCATCAGCCAAACATATAGATTCGCTCGAGTACTTTTTAATATCTCGTTTTCAGCCTTTAATAACACGTACGTTCAACCACTTCCTGTGCCTGTTTCCTGTTCTGGTGGTCTAGGATGAGCTTTCAGTTGTGACAGAATACGTAATAATGAACACCTTCAGCTACGACGATGGTCGACTTATCATTGGATCGATCTTCAAACCATCTGAGTTTGCGCGAGTTACTCGAATATCGTTAAGCGACCCACAATAATAGTACCACATCTTCGTATAGGGATGCTTCTAAGTGGGCGGCCTGTCTTTCCTGTCTCACAAGGTCGTTTCTAAGCATTACAGTTGTCCTCCTTTACATGAATGGTTTTGATTTTCAGTCCAACTGACCACTTTCTGAACATAAACGATATCTCCTTATGAGAGTTGGACCAAACATATTATAAACTAACGTGAACAGTTCCTGTAAAAATAAACTAATAAATTTTAATTTCTTATGTCTAAAATGGCATGATATCATGTCAATAGACGCCAAACACTGTTGTTTTTATTTTCATAAATATTAAGGATTTATCTGTTAGTTAAAAAAAAAGACAACTTTGTCAGTGACAAAGACTCAACGAATGACACCATAATGACCAACTGGACATTCTTGGACAATTCCACCTCTTCTAGAAACACCTCCGATGTCTCCCTGGAAGATATTCCCCAAGAGAACGTTTTCATCTTACCTTGGTGGCAGCAGACTCTCTGGAGCTTAGTGTTCGGAGGCATGGTTATCGTAGCCACAGGCGGCAATCTGATAGTTATTTGGATTGTTCTGGCCCACAAGCAAATGAGAACCGTTACAAATTATTTCCTAGTAAACCTGAGTCTAGCGGACACCATGGTGTCTACATTGAACGTCATTTTTAATTTTACCTATATGTTGAACACTGATTGGCCGTTCGGTAGGGCCTACTGTAAAGTCTCCAATTTTATAGCCATTGTCTCTGTATCCGCCAGCGTCTTCACCTTGATGGCCATATCAATTGACAGGTAGGTTCTTATTAAAATTTAAGACTGATGAATTTGTATACCAATTAGTGAAAAGAAATCTTCTAAAACTGATCGGGCGTCGAAAAACTTAAAGTTAGCAACATATTTGCTGCACCTTGGTATCTTTCTTAAGACTGTTAATCTATCATTAATAACTTTTAATGCTAATGTGTAAACCTTATTTGTTTTAAGATAGTGACATTTAGCAGTCTAAATAACTTGGTTCGTTGGACTTTATTGCATTTTTAAATAAACCAGTTTTTTAAATAAGTATCGCATTTCACAGAAATAAAATTTTAAATATGATATTTGAACTTGGTTTGTTTGTAATTAAGCACAAAGCTACACAATGGGCTATCTGTGCTCTGCCCATCACGGATATCGAAATCCGGATTCTAGCTTTGCAAGTCAGCAGACATACCGCTGTGCCACTGGGGGGCTTTGAATTTAACTCGAATGGAGGAACTTGTCTGTACAACCGAATCTTTGAGAAATGTTCCTACACATTCCAAACAACTAGTAAATTGTATGTTCTTGATATATATACTCGATAACAATAATAAGACTTAAATTTCAGTCCTAAAAACGTTTCTAGAATTTATAAAGTTGCAGTGTAGAAACCATAAGATACAAGTATTAAAACTATTTTCTGCCGCCTCTAACTTTGAGCTACTTTCTAAAGAAAAGACAGCCAGCCATTTAGCAGTACCCTAACACCCATGATAAAAGATTAACTGTCGCTCTTTTAACGCAACCAGGTATCGTAGGAATTCAGACTCGGCTCGCCAGCTCCGAAACTCCAGAGCTCTACCACAAGATCAACCTTCGCCTTAGAAACATTAAGATAAACTATTTTTGTTCGTTTATTTGTCGTTAAGGACAAAGTTACACTATGAGCTATCTGAGCTGTGTCCACCACGGGTATCTAAACCCAGTTCGTAGCGTTATAAGCCTTCAGACTTACCGTTGAGCCAGTGAGGGCAAAATAGACGATTGTTGTAATGTATAAATTATTATTAAAGCAAGCAGAAAAAAGTAAACGGTTGGGTAAATGTAGCATAGCAACTATTAAGACAAACATGACTTAGTACATTCTTGTATTGTAAACAGTATTAAGGAAAAACCTAACATAATCCATTTTTATACACGTATAGTGTAGAGTTTATTAAAAAAACGTGGCAGGATACACTATTGTATAATTGTACAAATTATTACGAAAAGTATAACAAAGCACATTACATTTCAGTGTAATCAAACAAACCAGCAGCTTTATAGCAAAAAATAAAATCAACTGTAGTCTTTTCTGTATACGTAGTTTGCTCATTGTGCATAAAATATGCATGTTATTACCCTCCTCCAGAATTGGAGATGGCAAATGTGTTTCTTTATCCTGAACATTATGCATTTCTAGAACAGGTTTGCAGAACTTTATTCACCAGCTTCTCCTATTTGTGATTCTAAAGCGCCGTGAATTTTTCCAGAAAATTTCAAAATTTTCAGGAACCCAATTTTTGTTCAGTGAACCAAAAATAAAAGAAAATCAAAAGTGGTGGAACTATTTCTTCATGGTGGTATGAATGTGAAGAAGAAAATTCAGTATGTCCAATTTCGCAAAGTTTCATTTTTAAAACTGAAAAATCTGCTTTAAAGTTACTTTTAAAACAACCCGTATTTCGCCATTATTCGCCGCTAAGAGGACTTCTAAAAAGGTAGGCAGGCCAAGTACAGTAGTAAATGTTAAACTTAGCGCTTGCAACGCGAGCACCTATCGACCACGGCCAGCAGAGCCTTACTTTATCTCATAAATTTTACGATATATACTAATCATAACACTTGCAGCATGAAACAATGAAATCAATCTGCGACTACTTCTTTTTAGTTAAAAATAAATATACATTCTTAAAAGCTTGCCATATCAATGGTCAATTAAAACAAAACGTTGATCAATAAAAATAATATTTTCCTCTACTTAATTCGGTCGTTCTCATTCTCAACGATCATTTAGTACAGCTCATTCCAGTTCTTTCTCACACACAGTCATCCTTAAAAGTAACACAATTTCCAATCCCATTTAATGTACTTGATGTTGTGTGTAATATTAGAAATATCCTGATCTCCACGAATTGCTTCTATTTCAAGCTCTAATTAAACAATAATGATTGCAGAGTCAGTATCTTGGGTGGATGTACCACAAAAAAAGTTGGAATTCATAATCAAAAACGCTTGAGTGAAAAAAAACACTCATAAATTTTGCTTTAGCTCTTAACAGTAGGTGATATCTCACAAACACAGCAAATAAAGTAGTTTGGCATTACTCACATTGCATCATTTTATTCATATGCTGTGGTTTGGTTTGTTTTGAATTTCACACAAAGCTACACGAGGGCTATCTGCGCTAACCGTCCTTAATTTAGCGGTGAAAGACTAGAGGGAAGGCAGCTAATCATCACCGCCCACCTCCAACTCTTCGACTACTCGTTTACCTACTCATGAAGGGCTTGATTTAAACGTTCCGGTTGCTGATTATAGATCTCTACATTGACAGTTCGCTGTGGATTGGGGAGTTCGAAATGTCCCACCAAATGCAAAGCATCACTTTCTGCGGATGGAGTCCAGATTTTGGGGTCGGAAGGGGTTTTTGTTTAGGACTGAGCCATCGTTTTTGGCGTTTAAGATTTGCATAGAGAATCAATTTTTTACAACCAATGGCAATTCTGTCCAAAAATGGTTCACACGCAGTACGCGTCAGAAGAGACGAAGCAACGATGGAAACGATGATCATCGTAGAGTTCGTAAGGCACCCAAATACTTTCTTTATGAAGTTTTCCCATATTCCTTAGATGTTTAACTTATAGTTTCATTATAGACATGCAATTTCATGTCCATTTCACGAGTGTGTTGCCTTGGGTTAGACTCAACATGCGTCTTCAAAGCATCAATATCAATTCCAATATGTCGGCCCCTGCCATCACAGTTTTAAGGCTAAAGTCACCTGAAAGAAATTTGCTGAACCATTGTCGACACTTACGAACGTTCAAAACATTTCC